TGGGTCGCATCCTGGGACAAAATTGACCTAATTTCCCCGAAAATGCTCAGCATAATAAGCTGCTTTCTATATAGTAGTATGTCACTGATGTCAGCTAGGACTGTATACCTTGTACATGCACTTGTAGTAAATAAATATATTATTATTATGGTGGAGATGACAGCTATGCTGTTGGTAGATCCATGATGAGGCAAGTGACGTCCTCGAGGATGGACTTCCGGAAGAATGCTGCATCTATCATCTAAAATGTTTTCCCTGGGGTTGAACACGTGTCGTACTCTATGTACGCAATAGAACATGAAATGAAGTGGCAATGTGAGAAAAGAAGTGTCACACATAAAACGTTATTCTTCAAGATCCTCGCTACTACAAACTTCTGAGGCTCGGAGGAAGAATTATTATCGAAACCAACCCAAAAGGATCATACAGCGCTGTCGGGGAGAGAAGTACACAAGTATGCTGCATCTAGTCCTGACATCATGGTCAGAGGTTAAATGTAGGAAGACACCTTTCTTGGCTAGTATATGGTATACTCTAACCCTGCCAAGAAAGATAATGGTGGTAATTAATCATTATAATAAAAAACGAAGCACTAAACCTACAAGGGTCATACAGCACTGGTGGTAATTAAAACATTAAATATAATTAAGAGTACGAAAAAGTCAGCTACCTCACTTGCCTTGATGCCTGACTTGTAAACCTGAGATGATCGGATTTTTTTTAGAATACAGGCATCTAGGACGGTAAGGTAGTTGTCTATTTCTTAGTTTAAATTATATTCAATACTTTAACCACTACCCCCTCAAGGAAGGTTCCTTGATGAACATCAAAATGGTATACAATACCGACAGGTTGTTAGGTAAGACACACATGCAACAGTTAGACACCTTGGACAAGCTTTTCAAGTGAGAAGTGTTGGATCTGAGAGGGACATGACCTCTCAGTGGTTACATTCTCACTACTACTACTACTACTACTACTACTACTACTCTGCACCTCTCCTTCCGACAGTATTTAAGTCTCCGCACTGTCGCTTGATCTTCAGATAGTTCCTGACTATGGAACTGAACTTCTCCAGGCCGAGGGACTGACAACCTCAAATTCTACGACTACAAGGGTGATGGACTGAGTACATCGTCTTCACATCTCTACTGTTCCTGCCTATTTTCTGTATTCGACTGAAGAAGCCTACTGTGTAGGCGAAACGTTTCGGAATAAAGTTGTCTAACTGTTGCATATGTGTCTTACCTAACAACCTGTCGGTATTGTATACCATTTTGATGTTCATCTTGTCAGACACTGCAACACATGGCATCTTGGTACAGAAAACACCTTGGACAAGCTTTTCAAGTGAGAAGTGTTGGATCTGAGAGGGACATGACCTCTCAGTGGTTACATTCTCACTACTACTACTACTACTACTCTGCACCTCTCCTTCCGACAGTATTTAGTCTCCGCACTGTCGCTTGATCTTCAGATAGTTCCTGACTATGGAAATGAACTTCTCCAGGCCGAGGGACTGACCTCAAATTCTACGACTACAAGGGTGATGGACTGATTACATCGTCTTCACATCTCTGCTGTTTCTGCCTATTTTCTGTATTCGACTGAAGAAGCCTACTGTGTAGGCGAAACGTTTCGGAATAAAGTTGTCTAACTGTTGCATATGTGTCTTACCTAACAAGGTTCCTTGATGTTGGTGAGGGGCTCTTGATTTAGGGAATTGGATCTGTGCTCCAGTTCCCCGAATTAAGCCTGAATGCTTTCCACATCCCCCCCCCCAGACGCTGTATAATCCTCCGGGTTTAGCGCTTCCCCCTTGATTATAATAATAATAATTTAACCACTACCATCCTGGGCTGAAGACAGAAGTTCACTTGGGTTATACTATATATATTATACACAGTATATAAATATTAGGAATATGAAAGCAGGATTTGCTTAAATATGTTTATTAGTGAAGGGTCACAATGGTAACACGTTGTATCATCAGACCAATATTGTACAACGTACAGTAAATCTAATTAACATGAGATCCTCTAGAAAAAATAATGGGTTATAAAGAACCTCACATAAGTGTACAGTAAGAAAATATATTTCGAATTCAATTTCTAAGGAATTTTTATTTATATAGAAATCCTAGTGATTATAACAATGCTAAAACGGGTTTAACAATGATTTTTACAGTGTTAGTCTCTCGTTAATTTTCTAAGGTAATAAAGACCCATAGTGAACGTCAGTGGTCAACCCGTCCACGAATTGTATTAAAAAAAAATATGTGTACATGTTTTATTAAAGTAATTTATGGTCACGCCTGTATCTGACATTCACAATCATTCCATTACAATTTACAATATATTACCTCGCACAAACAATATACAAAATCACTGACATATCCAATAAAGTATAAATATTGACAGATGACTACTAGCTTTAAGATTAAAATTTTTGGTGAATATTTTTGATTCACCAAAACCTAGCACTTAGGAGAGGACCCTCATGGCGATGTTTCAGTCCTGGACCACCGTCATCAACATATCTGACTGACAATGGTCTAGGATGTACCGAAACTCCATAATAAAATCTCTCATAAACCATACCCCCGGCCGGGATTGAACCCGCGGTCATAGAGTCTCAAAACTCCAGCCCGTCGCGTTAGCCACTAGACCAGCTAGCCACAATAAGATTCATCCAACTAGGTATATTTCTACACCATAGGAAAGTTAGCACAGGCACCTCTGTGACCACAAATGCAAGTTTTTACAGACGAATCTCCAGCTAGCGTGGCCGTGACGAACTCTAGCTCAAGTCCCTTCACTGCCGTCAACATGACTCAAGAAATCGTAATGACACGATTGCAAATAAACCATACCCCCGGCCGGGATTGAACCCGCGGTCATAGAGTCTCAAAACTCCAGCCCGTCGCGTTAGCCACTAGACCAGCTAGCCACAATAAGATTCATCCAACTAGGTATATTTCTACACCATAGGAAAGTTAGCACAGGCACCTCTGAGCTAGAGTTCGTCACGGCCACGCTAGCTGGAGATTCGTCTGTAAAAACTTGCATTTGTGGTCACAGAGGTGCCTGTGCTAACTTTCCTATGGTGTAGAAATATACCTAGTTGGATGAATCTTATTGTGGCTAGCTGGTCTAGTGGCTAACGCGACGGGCTGGAGTTTTGAGACTATGACCGCGGGTTCAATCCCGGCCGGGGGTATGGTTTATTTGCAATCGTGTCATTACGATTTCTTGAGTCAGTTAAAATCTCTCATAAGTTGAAGTCTTGGCGAATTGTTCTTGGTACGGTATTGCTATTTTTTATTCTTTATTAAGCTAGTTTCCATTATTATTATTATTATTATTATTTTTATTATTATTACTATATTTTCAACACGTTATGCAACTTGTCCAAAAATGTCGACCCTTCAAATTCGCAAGAGAAAATATTTTAAACACATTCATAGCTACATTTTAGAGAATTAGCGAGCTTACCTTATAAAGCAACGACCGCTTTCTTAAAATAAAAGTCGCTTGTAAATTTACTGTTAGAATAACTCCAAGTCAGTCAGTCAGAACATTAATAAACTAACGCGGTTAACTGATGTTAAATAATGTTAACTAAATTTATGGTGGCCCAAGACGAGTTATACGCTCAGCGGCCACTTTATTAATAAAACCTTTTAGTACTGGGCAAGGCTCCCCTTGGCCACCAGAAGAGTCTGAATTCTTTGTGGCATGGATTCAATAAGGTGAACATGTCAACATGGACCAGAGATCCTGTTCCATGATAACATGATAGATTCACTCAGTTGCTGCCGATTTGTCGGCTGCATATTTATCCTGCGAATCTCCCGTTTCACCATATCCCAAAGGTGATCAAATGGATTGAGATCTGGTGACTATGGAGGCCATTAGAGTACCATGAACTTATTGTCATGTTCACAGAACCAGCTTGAGCTGACATGTGATTTGTGATATGGTGTGTAATCCAGTTGGAAGTAGTCACTGGAAGATGGTTTGACTGTGGCCATAAAGGGATGCGTATGGTCAGTAACAATACTCAGGCAGACTGTGGCATTTAAACGATGTTCAGTTAGTATTATGGAGTCTAATGTGTACGAGAAAAAAAGACACCCCACACCACTGTACCACCACCAGCAACGTAATTATTATTATTATAATAAAAAAGAAGCGCTAAGCCACAAGGGCTATACAGACCAGCAACCTAAACTGTTAACACAAGGCAGGATGGATCCATGGATTCATGTTGCTTACACCAAATTCTGACCCTACTATCTGAATGCCATAATAGAAATGGCAATTTGCCAGACCAGGAGACTTTTTTCCATTCTAAACTGTCCACTTTCGGCGAGTCTATGCCCACTGTAGTCTTAGTTTTCTGTTCTTAGCTGACATGAGTGGAACCCAGTGGGGTCTTTTGTTACTGTTTCAGAGATGCTCTTCCGTTTAATCCTGTTGTAAAACATGGTTACTGGAATTACTGCCACCTTCCTGTCAACTTGAACCAGTCTTGCCATTCTCCTCTGACCTCTCTCAATATCAAGACATTTTCGCCCACAGAACTGCTGCCCACGTGATTGGCTGATTAGGTAGCTGCATTAATGAGGTGTACAGATGTACCTATAAAGTGGCCATGAATTGTAATTTGCCAATTTTGGCAAGGTTAGGCGAGGTCGCTACTTTAGTTTTAGTGCAAATTGAAAAATTTGTATACATTGTTAATTCACGATCACAAATTTATTCTTGCATAAGATAAGTGTTATGAAGAAAAATTTAAGTTTTCTTGTTTGGCTGACTTTGTCTCAAGTCTGAGGCATTCAAAATAGTGTGTCTATATGTATGGTCTCTAGCTAGACTAAAAATATTTGTGACATCTCTTACTTTCTAATGTGGATTATTCTAATATATATATATATATATATATATATATAAAAATATATATATATATATATATATTATATATATATTAATACACACACATCACTGTAGTATGATGCACGAAGGAACGCGACATGGAAAAAAATATACTGTTAATCCATTAGCACTATTAAAGATTTTTTTTTTTTTAATTTTCGCGTTTTGTTAATTTTAAAATAATTATAGAGTATATTTACAGCAGTAGGCACCTGTAGGCGCGATCATTACCTTGGACAAGTTAACTACTTGTCTTGTGGTCAGCGGGCGGAGGTTCGAGTCTTCACTATTCACAGTGCCGCATGACCCACATGGATTCAGCGCTTGACATAAATGCACAGAGCAACAGAGTGGCGGGATATCATAGACGGGTGCACCTTTAACTTACAAGATAACGCATGTGGGCGTAGGATCCTGGTTGAGGGCGGGGAGGGCGGTGGGGGAGCGGCCGCCCATGATCACAAGATGAATGACAGCCACTTGGCCACTGCCTGTCAGGTGGCGGGCCCAGCGGCTGTCCTCCGGGTTAACTTTGCCAGATCTGCCTGCAGCCACATACATATAATAATAATAGTAGTAGTAGTAGTAGTAGTAGTAGTAGTAGTAGTAGTAGTAGTAGTAGTAGTAGTAGTAGTAGTAGTAGTAGTAGTAGTAGTATCTTGTATTTTCAACTTTGCTTGATATACCAACAAAAGTATATATACAAACGGGGTATACCACTGGTTAAGCCTAACTTATTAGTTTACCAAGATACTATAGTGAGTTTTTAAGAATATTGTAATCTGACGGTGGGAGGTGGGGGGCTGTTTAGTTTGTTATATTGACTGTAAGAGGGTTTAAACTGGTAGTAGAGTGTTGGTGTAGTGTGTTAGACATGTTACACTTTTGGTAGGACATTCATAACGTTGTTCTTGTTGAGACTCGAGTATTAGCTGCTGGAAGAACCATTGTTTAATACCCTAAGAATTAAGAACTTGGTAACATTTCTGTGATTCCTCTGGGCACATCTGTGCCCCCTTGTCCAAGTGCCCCCTCATATCAAGCAGCCTGTCGCTATACATCTATGTAGTATGTTGTGATCAGGTCTCCCCATGTTTTACTCCTCCAAGCTCAATGGTTCATCTGCTTTGGAGTTGAATTAAAGAAGGCCCATGATCGACCATGCTTACAGTCTATTCAAGTCTTCCTGTAGTCCAATCCCCCACAGGATGGGTATGGGGTGCATAATAAACATATTAAACTAAAAATCTGTAGTCCAACCCTCTGAGAAATGTTTTACACACAAACTAGAAGTGATGAGGGTCCCATTGCCGAATCATTTTCTAATAAATGTGTCCTAGTGTTTGGTTACATTTCTTTCTAAACCAATTTGTGGGTATCTATACCTACTTCTCTGTTACTACCGTGTCCCGTTGCTCCCGTAGCTGTATTAACACTACTCGTCACCAGTGTCTAACCTATTATTTCTTTACGTAACGAAACACTATGTTCTCTTCCTCGGATATTCCTGGACCCACTGACGTACTTATTCCTTAAATTTTTACCTGTTCTTCTGGTTGGAGAATCAGTCTTTAATGAGGCACCATGTCGATGACTTTCCTATAGTCCAGGAATGTGAGGCCAACTCCCCCTTATTTTCTACTTGCTTGTCTCATGACTCTGGTTACTTGACTTGTGATTCATTATTTGCTATTCCTGGGAACATTATGATTTTTCATTGTTCCCTATATGTAGAGACAACACATTTGCTACATTCCAGCTGAGGGTAAATGTGTTGTATTGAGCGAAGCGTGTGTTATACTGCGGTTGCTATACTACAGTGGACGTTGGTTGTGTTATACTCAGTATACAATACAAGATATAGGGTATGTTATACACAGTGCAATGCTTTAAATTGGAACTTGCATGTGTTATATTGGTTCTATATGGATCTTGGATGTGTTATTTTGGGTCTTGGATGTATTATATTGGGTACTGGGTATTTGTAGGATGTTATACCAGATGTAGGTTGTGTTATATTAATGAAAAGTTCGTTAAATTAAGCATGTGTTATACCACGGATAGAGAGTGTTACCTTGGGTGTAGTGTTACCCTGGGTGTAGAGTGTTACTTTGGGTGTAGAATGTTACCTTGGGCGTAGAGTGTTAACTTGGGTGTGGTGTTACCCTGGGTGTAGAGTGTTACCTTGGGTGTAGGGTGTTACTTTGGGTGTAGAATGTTATCTTGGGCATAGAGTATTACCTTGGGTGTAGTGTTACCTTGGGTGTAGGGTGTTACTTTGGGTGTAGAATGTTATCCTGGGCATAGAGTGCTACCTTGGGTGTAGTGTTACCCTGGGTGTAGAGTGTTACTTTGGGTGTAGATTGTTACTTTGGGTGTAGAATGTTACCTTGGGCGTAGAGTGTTACCCTGGGTGTAGAGTGTTACTTTGGGTGTAGGATGTTACGTTGGGTGTAGAATGTTACCTTGGGCGTAGAGTGTTACCTTAGGTGTAGGCCTTGGGTGCAGTGTTACCTTGGGTGCAGAATGTTACCTTGGGTGTAGAGTGTTACCTTTGGTGTAG